CCCGCCCCGCCCCACCCCCTGCGCCGACAAAGTGGTGGCCAGCAGTGTTTTGTCGCGACTCGTACTGTTCACTTATTCACGCAAATGCGAGCATCGCCAGCAGCAGCGGCGGCGGCGGCGGCGGCGGCGGCGCTGTGTGGACCTCAGTGTGGACAGCCGGCGCCTCTGTGCCGGACCCTAACTAGGGGTAATCACGCGCAACAAGAAGAGACGGAGAGGAGACGACGGCGGGACAAATGGGGAACGAGATAAGAAAGAGGTCGATACATCGAACGCAATTTTTAAAGGATTAGAGTTTTTCTTTTAGTACTACGGCTATATGATTAGGTTATTGAGTTTCCAGGCCAGATAATAAAAATTGTTTTAACGCAACGAGAAAGTAAAGCGAAAATGTTATCGACATTTGCCCTTGAGCATCCATCCCTAAACTCAAATGAAACGCCATGTAAAAAGTATGGATCCCACTCTCGAAGCGCGAGGGGGGCATTTTTAATTACACAATATATTTCTGGTCGCCTTGGTTCTGTTGCGACGACTGCAGTCGGTTGCAGAGCATCGGAGCCTGTGACAGTGACAACGTCGCAAAGTCGCCTCAGCATCGGAGGATCGGAGGGTTCCGCTCCGGTACGGCGAGTCAGGTCAGACTTTGGAGAAAAAGGCTTATCCCGTCGTCGTCCACGACGTCAGCGCAAAGACGACCTCGCCTGTCAGGTGACGGGGAGGAGGGGGGTAGGAGGAGGGGAGGAGGAGAGGCGAAGGAGGAGGGGAGGAGGAGGGTGATGACCATCACGCAATCCTGATGCGAAGGACGGCGGTAATCCGTGCCTCCGCACTTCTGGGTAACGGAGGCGCGGAGAGATGGGGCAGGGGCACCAGGTATCGTGGCAGAGAGGCTGAGCGGGCGAGAGGGGCCCAGCATGTACACCACGTGTGTGGTGGGACGCGTTGCGTCGCCTCTCTCTCTCTCTCTCTCTCATCTCTTTTTCCGAGAAAAGCTCCAGGAGCGCTCGCTCTTTTTGCAATATCTGCCCTTCACTTTTGCGCCGTCCACCTGCGCGCCTGAGGTCACAGATAAGGAGGGTAAGCGCAGTGGGGAGCCACCTGAGGTGGTGTCGCCGCCATAGCGCCCGACTTGGCAACGACGGAGAGCGTGGCGTCGGCGCGTCGACGAGGGAGGGCGAGCGCGTGGGGGAGCACACCCCTTCCCTTCCGGGTCCATCCGCGGCCATCCCCAGCCGGGGCGGCCCGGGCGGCCTCCGTGCCGGACACAACCGAGCAAACCCCTCCTCCCCAAGCCCGGCAGCCTGCAGGACCACAGGGGACCGGAGGGACCGTCCGAGAGCGAGTGGTGACTAATCCACTGCAAAACAAACGGAGGGCAAAGGGTATTGCGCGCATGGGTATTTTAATTTTCCGACATACCATATGTTTCAGAATTTTTTAAAACGTCTCTTGATTTTACCCGAGAAGTCTAATTATTTTTAAAAATTTCTGGATGTATATTTTAATATTTTTCAAATTTTTCCCGGGCCAGTTTTTAATTGTTACAAAATTGCTAGGCGCGCGGGCGGGCTGTTGCGTGAGTGCAGAGCGGAGCGGGAGCGCCCGCGCGCGGCTGGGCGGGCCGCACGAGCGCGCCGGTGCGCGGCGGGTTGCGTCGCCGCCCGCGCGTGACGTCACAGCGGCGTCGTCCTGCCCTGGAGGCCGGGGGGGGCGCGGAGCGGTGGCGGTGGCGTCGGCGCCGCGGCGTCCCCCGTCGCGTCGTCGCCCACACAAATTGGCAAATGGTCCCTTCCTCCTAGGGGCAGGGCCGGGCAGGGCCGGGCAGGGCGAGGACGGCAGCAGCTGCTCTCTGCTCCTCCCCAGCTATACGGCGCGTGGCTGCGGCGCGTCGCCACATGACGCATCGGATTGAGCAGAGCTCCGGTTGAGTTGAGTTGAGTTGCAGATCCGCTGGGCCGATAGCATCAACGGTGACGGCGGGGGGTGGCAGGGAGAGGGGGGCGTCCCCTGGCCACCCCCACAGGGAAACATAATATAATATGGGGAAGAAAGTGACCGAGCGGGGGAGGGCGCGCAATGTGTCGAAATGGGTCCGGCGGGGAGGGCCGCCGCGCGCGCTCAGGACGCTCAGGACACGCGCCCGCCGACACCATTTGTCAGGAGGCCCGCTGCCCGATGACTAACGGCCGAACAGAACAGCGCCCCAGTCGATCCATTACGGACAAAGACGCGGGCAGGAGGCAAGGCTGATGGGCTTTCTCCGGCCCAGATCTGGTCCGGATCTGCTGCAGCCGCGGTGATTAGCCGTACGCGCGGAAATACTACATTTCAGTTCAATTACACCGTTTTCTCGCCTTTCCTCTTGATCAATGCCGAGAAAAGGAAACTACTGGAAGAATCATACACTATAAAAAATGAGTGGAATTTTACCCGCCCAGTGGACTTGTAACTTTGCTTACCGGCCTTGTAAAATTGATTTGATGACCCAGTTGGCATGCGTTGTCGATATACACGCCCATCGGGTGGGTTGATTTACGTACCCAAACCAGGATAATTGGTTCGTCAGAAACATGGACTGGGGTGTGAAATCATCTTGTCTTGCAGGTTTGGCTCATTTGTGCCTCTCCTGGATATCTAAGGCTTCGGTGTGCCTGATGTTCTGTCCTGCGCAATGGTTTCCCCCGGGTGGGTCGGCGGGCTGACGTGTGGGCTCGCGCAAGCTCGCGCCCCTTGTCCCTTACCGCCGTGATGGAAACATCAACGAGTGTGGACGCGTGCAAATCTATCTCTGTCTCGCACACACTTCGCGGAGCTCGAGAAAGAGAGAGAGGACGAGTGGGGGTGGCCCTGGTGCCGCCCCTGCTGCTGGCCGCGCGCCGGCTGCTGGCCGCATGGCCCCGCTGGTGTTGTTTGAATGGAGGAAAGTAGTAAGCCGGATGCAGCAGCAGAGAGGCTGCCGAGATGCACCTCCCTGGTCCAGCGGCAGCGCCGCGCCGCACCACGCCAGAAACGGACTGCAGCTGACCCTTTTCCCCATTGTCCAGTCGGAGCCCGAGGCCCGGCCCGGCCCGGCGGGGATTGGGTTGTGATGTCCTCGACGCGCATGGCCACGTACGTATGACACATGTGGTGGGCGGCGAGGCCCTCTGCGCGCGCCTTGCGCCGCAGATGGCCAGTTTGGAGGGTGAAAAGACGACGACGCGTCCCCGGTGCTGCTGCTGCTGCCCCCAAGCCGCGGCCCCCGCTCCAGGAGCACGTTCTCAACGCGCACGAGGACACGGCCGCCGACAGAAAAGTGACCGCAGCGATTATACTTTTTTTCGCAAAGTCATCCCCGTGTATAGCCATACTTCAATCGCTGCGAATAAAAACGCGCCGACTGATTGGGTGGTAGGGGAGGTGGGGG